TTCAGGAAACTCAATTTATTTGTCAAAGACCATCATTGCCAAAGCAGCACTGAAATGTGAAATAAAATTCACAATTTGCAACACACAGGACAGGGTACAGTACAGACAAGTATTTTCCAAGGAGTCCACAGCTCAGCCATAGTTAAATGGATTGTATCCTCCTTGGTAGCCACCATAAAGTCCTCCAATTCCACCTCCTCCATTGAAACCATTAAAAGCAGGTCCACCAATTCCAGGGTATGCACCTGCTCCTCCATAGGGGGAATAAATGCCTCCTCCTCCATAACCATGATTGTAACCACCTCCATAAACGTTGAAACTGCCTCCAAACAACCCCCCATGTTTTCCATGTTTTTTGCTGAGGAACAATGGACTGGACTCTGATCCCATTACCAATAATGCCAGGATTACCTGCAAGAAAAAAATTGAACAAATCACTTTTCAAAGTCACTCAAGAACATCCTGATTATCACCAAAAATATCTGATTCTATTGAAATCACTTAAATAAATTAATTTGGAGAAATGAGTAACAAATATAGCTGTCCTCCTTTCAATGATTATATATACAATTAAACAAATATTTGTAAAATAAGGACCCCTTGCTGGTCACCATTCACAATAAAAAATTGAACTTTTCAGGATACCATAAGAACCAGAGAAACTCACCATTTCATAGCAGTAATTTGAATGATCATCATAAATTGACTTTGAAAAGAAGAAAACATGGCTATTCCCAAATGAATCATAGCATAATCACTACAAAATATTTTGAGAAATTGGGATCTTGGATTTTCACCATCTTAAGCCAATTTAAGGATTAAAAGGATTTCAATAAATGGGCTTTGAAAAATGATAGCTACTAACATTAATTCAATGCTCATCAAAATCAAAATGATTGTACAGTAATTCACTTACTCTGAAAATATAAGAGCAATTGCTGTTCACCATTATATTAAATTAATTAATGAATAACAGCATAACATTTGAAAAATTATTTAGAAAAATCAGGACCATAGTTGCTCACCATCAGAAAGCAAGTGGAGGCACTTTTATTCCTAGAAAAACTCATTTTTCTTTTTGACTCCGAAATCAAAAAAATGGCAACAGTGTGTTGAACTGGCTGAACAGCAAGTGGATGTGATCCAAATTTCTGTCCACCACATCCAGTATTTTTCCTCTACAAAGACTTGGCAGGTGCTCAAGGGCTTTTATCCATTTCCCAGGTTGTTTCACAGTTGATGCCATCCATGCGGGTTTCCATCAATAAATTGGTCCATCACTACAAAGTGCCAAGGATATGAGGGCCAACAGGAAATTGACTTCCAACATATTCACAGCTGGGAATGCTAAACATCATGGGCATCATAAATGTCATGTGTAAATGCTTAGGAATAAAAGGACCCATGATGAATATAATGCCATAAAACATGAATTTATTGTGTACATTCTTTTTTTTTATTCACAGCTGGGAATGCTAAACATCATGGGCATCATAAATGTCATGTGTAAATGCTTAGGAATAAAAGGACCCATGATGAATATAATGCCATAAAACATGAATTTATTGTGTACATTCTTTTTTTTTTTGTACTTTAGGAAAAAAGAAGATCAAAGAAAAGCACTGAATTTTTAACATCAAAACTTCTCAGTGGTTGTGATTCCATCATCAGTTATTGTAGTTTCAGTTTCCATCACAGCACTTATTTCCCCTTGAAATGCAGAGTTTGTGGTGTTTCTGGATGCTTTGGAAGATGAAATCTCTGTAGTGGAAAACTCAATTTCTTGTGATGCGGTTTCTGTGACTGATGATTCACTTTCCCTGGAATCATCTGTACTGGAATCTGAATCACCACTGATTCGGGAATCCCTTTGAACTTCTTCTGAAGATGGCTGAACTGTTGTCTGGATAGCATCAGTGGAGCTCTTGAGTCGCTCAACAGGAGCGACATCTGTGTCTAGCAACGCTTCATCTGGCAGATCTTCGCGGAAGTTTTCTCCGGATTCAACGGTAGATGGCGCTGGGATGACGGGGTCGATAATTTCAAATTCTGTGAGACATAACACCAGCATGTACTAAGGTATATAGCAATAAGGAAATTTAACTCTTGAAGAGCCTTTTTTGCTCACCAGATGACACTGCTTCATCATTTGAAGGTAGTGGTTCAGTCCGCGGTGGTTCTAAATATAAATTTAAAAATTTTGGATTTCACAATTTATAGTCATATTTGAATAAGGAAAAATCATTACTCACCAGGGTTTTGTTCTTTTTCAGACACCTCAGTTGTAGGTGGCAACTCTGTCATTGGAGAATCACTTTCCACAGAACCTTTAGGGCTCCTTTCATCTGATGGGGACACCTCAATAATTGGTGGTGATTTTGTCAGTGGAACACCATCTTCTTCAGATTCAATAGGTTTTGATGTTTCTGTTGTTGACATCTCAATAATTGGTGGCAATTTTGTGACTGGAACACCATCTTCTTCAGATTCTTCAGGTTTTGATGCTTCTGTTGTTGACATCTCAATAATTGGTGGTGATTTTGTCACTGGAACACCATCTTCTTCAGGTTCATTAGGTCCTGACATCTCAATAATTGGTGGTGATTTTGTAAGTGAAACACCATCTTCTTCAGATTCTCTGGGTTTTGATGTTTCTGTTGTTGACATCTCAACAATTGGTGGCGATTTTGTCACTGGAACACCATCTTCTTCAGATTCATTAGGTACTGACATCTCAATAATTGGTGGCGATTTTGTCAGTGGAACACCATCTTCTTCAGATTCATTAGGTTTTGATGTTTCTGTTGTTGACATCTCAATAATTGGTGGTGATTTTGTCCCTGGACGACCATCTTCTTCAGATTCACTAGGCTTATTTGTTTCTTCTGTGGACTCCTCAACAATTGATGGTGTTTTGAAAATTGGAGCAACATCTTCTTCAGGATCAATCGGCTTGGTTTTCTTTGAGGAAAGTTCAATGCTTGTTGGGGATGATGTTTTCATTGGAGTATCCTCTTCTAAAAAAATAGATTTGCTATTTTAGTGAATTTTTACAACTTGGAGCAACAAATTTGTATAAATGTTTTAAATGCTCAATAAAT